GCCGCGAGAAATTAAACATACCCATGTCCACCGGAAGGCTCCTGCACAGAGGTTCATAGGGGCAGTTTTGGGGTTGGGCAGAAGTGACCCGCATGTTCACCAGCAATAAATACATTGTGAGAGGCCTGTGCGAGTCAGCTTTTCACCGCTGGACAGAATCCCCGAGGAAATCACCTGCAAAGAGGAAAGCTCCATTTCGGCTCAGGCTTCCAAGGGTTAAATTTGGCTGTGTGACAGCAAAGGCTGTCACCTCGTGATGGCAAGGCTGGGCCGGGGCAGATGATGCCATTCGAGGCCAGGCCTTCATCCCCCCAGGGAGTCCCCGATTCTGGAAGTTTCCATGCCTCCTAAACGCTGGTGCATAGAGCCTTACAAGGAAATGCTGCTTGGCTGGAAGAGGGAGGACCCATGGCGTCCTGCACATCCTGCACTCAGAAGTCTCAAGTGCTTTGTATGTTTTGCATCACTGAAGAAGCCAGACTCCGAATGCTGCATGGCGTATGATCCCGTTCAAATGACAAAGTCTATGGATAGAAAGTAGACCAGAGGCTGTTAGGCATCGAGGGTGAGAAACAGGGTCAACAGCAAAGGGCATGGGAGAATTTTTGGACAGGGAAAAAACTGTTCTGGATTGACTGTGGTGATGACTGCTCAACTGTGCGTGTCAAAAACGCATAGAATTTCACCCCGAAAAAGGCGAAATGATGCTGTATATAAATAACGCCTCAGCCTGAAAAATGCATCCTACTGATGGGGTCTAGACGGAGGGAATGTGGGTCCACACTGCGCAATTGTTTTCGCTACCTTCAAAAATGTTCGTAACCAGATAATTGGGGAAAACATCAAAAAGATGTCGGGGGAGCCGATGCACGAAGGCATGCCTGACCAGGAAAACAAAACCAGAAAATAGTGAGTGGCTCGCTCTTCCATTATTACACAATGACGAATTGGTGAGTACGAATTAGCGATTATGAAAGGATCACGAGTCATGACCCTGTGTACCAGCTTCTGAGCTGGGGGGGGGGTGACCTTCAGCCTCTGTGGACAGCGCTGCGGCATCTGAACTTCACCCTATTAGCGATTATGAAAGGATCACGAGTCATGACCCTGTGTACCAGCTTCTGAGCTGGGGGGGGGTGACCTTCAGCCTCTGTGGACAGCGCTGCGGCATCTGAACTTCACCTCAAGGGAGGGAGTTTGAGGCTCCAGTCGTGAACGGAGCTGGGCAGATTCCAGGTCCTGAGCTCGCCAGGGTGTCTGGGACCCGTGTCTGGCTCCTTCCTGTCATGGGTGGGGGGCAGGCTCACGGGGAAGCAGCTGCCTAGTGTCCCCAGGAAACCTGCAAGCTCGGGAGAGGTGTCTCCAGGGGCAGGGTCTCAAACCCTGCAGTCAGGAGGCAGCAGGAGGATGGCCGAGAGGTCTGCAGCGCAGGCGACAGCCAGGAGGCTGGGGTCCGCACCGGGCCAGGTCCTGGGGTTCCACTCAGTGACTGGGTGAGGTGAACTCCCCACAATAACAGATTCACATTCTCCCCGGCCTTACCTTAGGGGACACTGGCTAACTTTAAAATTTTAATAAAATCAGGACCTGCTCCTGCATCTAAGAAACTTGTGGTCATGAGAAACTTATTCCTAAGGTATCTGACATATGGACTGGACTTACGGGTAGTTTCAGCCGCAAAGAGGGTGCCGTGTTAACACCAGGGCCTCCTGCACAGTGGGCAGGTGCTCTGGCACTGCCTACACCCAAGCCCATCTCTGCCTTTTTAAGGGGTGTCTTCCTTACCTAGGGGTTTGAGGCTCAAGTAAAACTCCACAGTCTCCTGCCTCTGCCTCACCTCCTGTCCTCTGTGCCATTTCCCCAGTGTTCCACACACAGCTCTGAAGAGGAGCAATGTCTTTCATACCTCTTTGCCTTTGAGTGCACCCCTTTTCTCTTCTTGTCTTCTGGGTGAGCTCCTATTCATCCTTCAGTACCCTAATTAAACTGCACCTTCTCTGTGGACCTTTCCCTGGATTTTTTTTCTCCATTTTGTTTTCTTTTTAGACAGAGTCTCACTGTGTAGTGCAGGCTGAACTTGAGCTCCCTGTGTAGCCCAGGCTGGCCTCAAAATCACAGCAATCCTTGTGCCTCAGCCTCCCGAGTACAGGAATTATAGATGTGTGCCACCACACCCAGCTCCTTTCTTCTGACAGACCCAGTGGTTCTTTTCCCCTGCATTTGCACCAGCCTGCATGTACAGCTCTGAAACTGGGCTGGGTTTCTCTCTGGATATATGAGATGCCTGGGAATTTGTTGTTCCAGATAAAATTACATCTGACGCCAGACCCTGGAGCCCTGGAGTGTGATATAAATTGTTCTCTATGGTTGGCCAGATGCTCCTGGTACTTCCTGCATGAAATGGGGTGGGGAGGGATGTCACATGCAGTGGGACACCCAGGGAGGGCCCTGTCATGGGTCTGCAAAAGGGACCGTTTGGGGGACACCCCCCACACTGAGGCCCCTGAGCCACCCGCAGGCTCCTTGCACTTCCTGGGTGCTCTCCTCTTGGAGGCTCCCTACCCAGGGTGGCCCTGGCCCGCCACGTGTGAACTAGCACTTTCCCCACCCTCTGTGTCACTGTGCTCTGTGTCCCAGCCTGCCCTTCTTCTGAATTGTGGTCCTTTGGGGTCAAGAACGATGTCATGGATCTTGGTCTCCAAAGGCCAAGACTGGGCTTTCTAACTGCAGGAACAGGAAAGTTCTTTAACCCTCTCTGGACCTCAGTTTCCTGCCTGTAAAATCAGCGTGCCAACAACACTAATCTTGCACAGTAGTGTTTGTTAGGCTGAACAGATTCTAGGCAACCCCTAGGATGGTGCCTGGTGTACATTACTGCTATAATTCATCTTGGCTGCTGTTATTGCTTTTTATCCCATTACTGAAACTTAAGATGTTTGGCTGCCTGATAGGCAATCATTCCAGCTTCCTCTTGCAACAAGAGAGCCTGAAAATGCAAGATGTTCACCCTCCCGGCCTCCTGTGCAGCTGGGCACAGGCCATGTGAGCCAGTCTTGGGCAATGGGACTTGAATGAGAGCGAGCACAGGCTTCTGGGAAAGCTCCTTTTAGAAGGAAAGACTTCAAGCACTGTCTTGGAGGGAGGAGAAGCTCAGCGCTGTGGAGCCCAGTTTGTGACCATGAGGCAGAGCCAAGGGTTAAAGTCAACAGGCTGAAGGTATCAAAGCAGGGACATTTATGACTGTTAGGCTTCTGCCCCTGCCCTGGAGCCCGTGACCTTGGGACACTGCTAGATAAGGTCTGAAATGCCTTTGTTGCAGAAGCCGCCTATAGTGAGTATTCTTAGTACCTGATCCCCAGGAATTTGGTGTCAGTAGTGGTTGAAAGAAGGTGGCAGTGCTGGTGTGAACCTCAGGCTTTCGGCTGGGCCCCTCCCGTCGGATTCCCGTCAGACTCCAGTGAGCATGAAGCGGGCTGCCAGCTCAGGTGCAAGATGGGTAGCAGGCCTCTGCCCCCCCTCCGCCCCGCCCCCGAGAGAGTGCTGGGCCTGCAGAGCATTTGTGGAAAAGAGCTCGGGCCAAGTAGAGGGAAGTGCTGGGAGGGCTGGGAGGCGGCTCCGTGGTCCAGCCAGTGCCAGCGCTGCAAAAAAGGAAATGTGAAACGATTTACAAAAGGAGTAGAGGGAGAGATGGGGG